GACTTTTGCTGATGTAAGAATGTTATTAGGTGTCATTATAATATCTGTTGTAGTGGAGGAGGATGATAGCATTGTCATTGTAGCAACAGTATTAATGTCTTCAGTAATAGTAGAGGATGATGTTTCAGTCACTGAAGGAATTAGCTCTAAAAGGAAAACAATTAAATGATATTAGTTAGGAAACTACTCACTTGTTATAACTGATATCAGTGGATAGTCATTATGTTCCAATGGTATTAATCCATTACTGCTATCAAGCTCATAATTCAATGGTCCATTGTATTGTTGATAATACATTGGATTACTATTAGTGGTTACATTGATTACTAATATATCTCCATACTCTACTTCAATATCACTTGTAAAGTTATATACATTACCATTACTTGATGTAGCAGCAGAAGCATCAACAGTTAGTGCATGAATCAGTTCAGAAGAACGTTTTAAATAAATGTTAGGATAATGTTTGCTTGTAGTCTGATTCTGTGTAATACCAATTATCCAGTTAGTAATAATACTATTACATGTGAACTGTATATCAGGAAAAGCTCTTGTATCATTGACTGGTATTACATTAGTAACTGATAGGCTGTTTGTATTAATTTCAATTTCAGTGAAAACATTTTGAAAGCAGTTCAGAGGATCTAGATGATAAGAATTGTTTGTTAATATTTTTAACATTAATGTACTTGACTTACTTGTTTTGAGATATACCATAAAAACATTATTTGTGTTTTGAAAATCAATTTCTCTACCCGGACCAGATGTTCTGATACTTGACTGACTAATGGAGTCTGCTCTTATTCTTCCAACTGTTTTTGTGCTGCTAGTGGTTGCTCTATATAATCTAACAACACTTGAATCATCTTCAGGTTGATACACTCCTAGTCTGTAAGTATCATAATTACTGCCACTGACACTAAAAGGAGTAGGAAGAATGTAACGATATAATCCATTAGTAGTGACATTATCATGAGATAACACAATAGGAATAGTGCAATGTTTCTGGTAATTACTGTTCCCATCAATCCATATCTCAATGCTGGGATACTTGTTTCTATTTCCATATTCTGATCTGATATCAACTCCTAGAAGAACTTCTGTTACAGTAGCAGTAGTACAATTAAATGTATGACCCTCATCAATGATCCAACTTCCTTCATTGCCCTCAGCTAAAGTATTATCAGCTAGTGAACCAACTGGTGTAGCTGCTTTAGCTACTAGTAGACTCAAGTCCATGAATCCTTCAGTACATACTCCTCCTCCTGTTGCTCCTTCATTACTAGCAACCAATAATAATAAGAATAAGAAGATACTGGACATTTTGTGATGATCTACTCAGCAAGTGTCTTCTTGTTTTGCTAATAGGATGTTATTCTATGAACATCATTACCACACCCAATTTTGCTAGGCATTCACATTGTGTGCAATCATAAATAATTGATCATAATATGACTGATTGATACAAGTCTGATATCCTATACTGGTACAGCACTGATACATTATATTATAGATCATGCCTGTCATTCTGGCATGAATCAGTACAAATTTTATCATAATTGTATCATGACTGATTACACAAAAACCATGATTCAGGACTGATATCACGGTATTATTTAGACTGATATCAGTCCTGATCTAAGGCAATAACAATTGGTTGTGTATAGTGCATGAACATTGTTTAAAAGAGAACTATGATGTCATAGTAAATGTGGTTTGGAAGAAGCACTACTGGATATTTTAGAATTATGTAAAAATTTTAAATTTGTTGTACTTGTCTAATGGCTTTAACAGCAATATTAAATTCTACAATGTTTTAGTGCAATTTTTTATTTGTGTATGTGTTCTATGTTCATTAATGTATGTCCTGTTTATTATAGTAATGTCAATATGTTAGATGTACAAGTCTTCTTCTTCTTCTTTCTGTTGTGTATATGCTTCATTATGTGCTGGCATTACAATAACCTGCCAATAGAAATACAGTCAACCAATCTGGATAAATGCACTGTAGTGTAGATTTAAAAATTGAAATTCAAATTAACTGTGACCTTGATTTTTATATAATTTACAGAATATATATTGTAATGTTACCTCTTGTTCATTATACATCATAGTTCTTGGTTCATCATACACTAATAATTCTTCATTAATACCTATGTACACCTATTATATTAAAATTATAATAATAGTATTTATTACTTTACTTTGTGTCATTATAGTGTTGATTCCATAAGCAGGATTACTATAGACATCATCTATTTTAATTATGTTAAAATTGGTTAAAATTACTCTTTCAGGTATAACAATCTATCATACTTTCATTTCCACCAATAACACCATAAGCAGCATTAGCAGACATATTTGAGAGAACATTCATTCTTTCATCTATACAATAACAATAAACTATTAATGTCAGTGAATGTTTGCTATTATAAGTTACCTTGTTTTTGTTCGTCCACTATTCTTTTACTATCATCATTAGCATTACTAGTACCTAACTGTTTTCTCCTACACACTAATAC